TGAAGGGCCGTGTCCAAGATGCCTCGGCCCTTGGCCGACCATGTTACGCATGACATGCAGCGACTGCTTCGATACTCGAGCAGCGCTCAGTGGCTTACGTGCCACTCCACGATCAGCCTGCGAGCCACGCTCGGAAGTTCTGTCCGATACACCGTTGGTGCCTACCAACTCGGATATTCCAATGTCCAGCCCGTTGACCGTCTTGGTCCAGTGCTCTCGCCAATAGCGCTTTTGTCTCCTAGAAGAGGTGGGTTCATGACTCGCCAAAGCTCCACCAAGAGACGTGCGCGTAGCGCCCAAGGTCTTTGACCTCCAATCAATCCATGGCTCAATTTGTTCCAACCATGCCATTCATAGGATGAGGTCATACCTTGCATCCAGGTCTACGACTAGACCGCGTTCTACGCTATCAAAGTCAAGGAACGTGACTTCAAATTCCACAGGGACCTTCGGAACCGTGACACGTGTCCCTGTAGCTAGGCGAATAGTGACGATGTCATTCAGCCGCGCTTTCAGCTCCTCAGCATACAGCTGACTTCCTTCCATCATAGGGCGTCGGCCAATTATGCCCGACGCCCCAGAATTAATGAGAATCTTCCATGACTTCCCAAAGCCCTTACGGTCGCCTCCACGACCAGCAAGCCCGGCTTACATACACGTTCCGTGTTCAAGAGCACGGAGCGCTTCGGAGCTGAGACCTGTTGACCTCTACCTCCCTGAGGTCAACAGAACTCAGTTCTTCCCCAGTAGGCCTCCCACGCCTACTGAGTGGTGTCGTTTCCCCGCGATGAACTAGACTGGTAGGAATTGGGGCGATGGTTCGAAGAACCTTGACGCGCCTTGCGCAGGGGGCAACCGCTCCGAAGATGACGGGTGCCTCCACAGACAAAACACCGTCGAATGTGTGTATGTTGCCCGACAGCTCGGAGCGCTGGTCACTAGTCCTCAGCATAGCTGAGATCCATGGGCATAGGCCCGCTCGATGAGCTGTTGGAGTGTGCTTTTCAGCCAAGTCGTGCCGACTTGAAATTGAATTCGGCATTCAATGCCACATTCACCGCCTCTTCAAACGAAGACGGATGCACACAGAAGACTTCAAATCTGGCCACGCCAGTGCGGAGGCCTTCCATAAAGACGGTCAGTGTGGCCGCCTCCGGGAGGGGATCTGTTGCCATCCCGGCAATGAGTGTTCGCACCTCTTGGACAAAGCCCACCAATTCCTTGTTGCCCTGTCGGGTGGCAAGGAAACCCGATCGTACGCGATACGCCTGATTAGGCGGCGAGAACACTCGTGAGAGCTGCAATTTCAGCTCCGCCCAGGAGGAAAACGCGGCTCCGACCGAAGTGCCGCACGTCAGTGCCTATTCTCGCGCTCGACCACCGAGCTTTGTGATGGCTAGCGCCACGCGCTGTTGCTCGGTTTGGTGCATGGAGTATGCGATGGCCATCTCAACCTCTCTAACCCAGAGCAGGAGATTCTCACCATCCTTCCCCTCAAACACCTTAACGCTCACCCTGAGCGGCGTAGGTCGGGGGAAATTATCCGTCACTGACGGTGGCGTCAAGGACACAAACGATGAAGACATCTTCTGCTGCAGGTGCTCTAGCAGCGCATTTTTGTAAAATCATCTAGACGCGCACCGAATGCCTCGGGGCCTTGTGCTACAAGGTCTTGCACGCCCTCAGGGCCAAGCAAGGACATCAGCTTGTTAAGCACGTCCTGCATGCCCTGGGGCAAAGAGAAAAATTTCTCCATCCTCACATAGGATCGGTCTAAACGACTCAGGTTCAGATTAACTACAAGTGCTACCAGGTGCAGCGGGGCTACCGTAGCTTAGCGCTTGAGGAAACATACTCTAGGTCACCGACTTTTCGTTCTTTACAAGAACCTAGTATGAGTTAGCGGATCGCAATCCGCTTACTCCAAGAGTAATTATTGCCTTTTCCAGGGCTAATTGACTTCACGGATTTAAAATCCTAATCTGTTTTTTGTTTATTTTATTTTAAACGTTTAGATTTTCCTAAATATTTATAGTAAAATCTAAATACATGCATAACTACAGGCTACCTAGCCACAAACCGTATTCTTATGTGAGTGTAGTCACACCATGCACATCTCGTGTGACACACACCCCTGTTACCAGAGTACGTGTAACCCCATTACACTCCAGCCATTTTTGACTACCAGTTTTCTAATGTCATCGGAGCCTAAGATAAGCAAAAGCCTGTTAGGCTTGTCAATTTTTTATGAAACAGATAATCGAGCACTTCATGCTTCATCCTCTCAAAGAGCGAAAACTTCCTATTACTCGATCGTGGATTTGACTGTATGTGTTATCAAGTGGAACGGAATCGCCGTGCGTTTTGCGCATAAAAAGCTCTGACTCCCAGAGACCGTGTCAACAAATGCGAGGTTGAGTTCGTGCCCTCTTAACAAAATGTTGAACGGGGAGTCTCTAGTGACTGGTTATTTGATCTGCTATTCCTAGAGAATGTATCTCTAGAATTAATTATATTAATACTAATATTAAAGATACACGTTGCATTATCTTTTCTAATTAAATTGCTGTCAGAGGTTCATAATCTTCATAAATGAGATATTCCGGGATATACGAATTGTTACAGCGGCACCCAGCAATGTGACCTGCACTCATACAAAAAATCAATTGTGTAAGGGCTAAGTACACTATATCAAGAAATGCCCCCCTTGCACAAAACAACGACCATTTTTGGTGCTTATGTGATCTGCCTTTTTTGGCTCTCATGGTGACGTGAACTACACAACCGGGCTACGAGCTTGAGATTGTGCCGATCTTACTACATTCACAGCGAGTTGTAGCTTTTCAGACCAATCAGTCGTTCTGATCTGGTCCTATAAATTGATTCGGTGGATTTGCTTTTTTGGAACAGAGTCGACATATTGCATTTGTTGAACGTCGCAATGGCTCTATTCCGTCGGGTTGCAGGCATTCATTCTCTCCTGGTATTTAAATGCAATCAGCGATCTTTAGTGTTTCCGCTTTAGTATATAACCACCAGCAACCGCAAAATCTTTCACATTTGGCTTATTTTGTTATTGCCTACAGAAATGCATCAGGAATATGACATAGAAATTCGTATAGAAAAATGAGTAACCAGCTTTCAGCAGAAACCTGTTGCGATTGTGATGCAGTTTTCCCAATTCGTGGCTGTTTCAACGACCTATTTGCCTGTTTGGCACCAGACTGGCTTTCGTTATAATGTGGTATCAACTCGAACCAATTTTTCGTATGCTTTAAGAGCTGAAACTACTGTGTTTTTGCACCCTATCCTGCAGTGAATCGAAGAGACCAATCTTCTGTGAGTCGACGTTCCGTCATAGTACTGTCAATCCATTTAAGGCGATAATTTTGGCTAGAAAAGTCCGGTGCTACTGTCTTTGCGGATTATCTGTGCAATATGGTCCATCTTGCTGCTGTCAGCTATACTGGGAACGGCGAGGATATAGAATGTTCTTCGTTAGATAAGTATGCTAACATAATTTAATGAGCCGGGCTGTCGATGCTAAGATCAATTTTATCAAAGCTGTTGAGATTACACCACTGAATGCATGTTGACCAGGCAGATGACGTCACCATATTTACGAACACGTCACAGTAAGTAATTACATAATTGCTTGCGTTCATTGGTCAAGATAAATCAGGATGCTTATAGAAGCTTCTAGAAGGATCAAGAAAGACAGGCTTAGAGGTAGCACAGAGTAGCGAACTAAGGACCTAAATATATTCACTTCGGTTTTTACCTTCTTCTCAACAGTTTATCAGCAGCACCAAGCCTTTCTCTACAAACAACGGCCTCGCCCACTATGGCCAACAAGCAAACCGAAGTCCTCTTAGGGAGTGGTAACTACTACCACTGGGAGTTCAACATGAGGATGACCCTGGCACGGAAGGGTCTCCTGGGGCACATCATGGCCGTCAAGGAAGAGAGTGACATCACGGAGGCCTGGCTGGTAAATGATGCCAAGGCGCTCGGCATCATCGCTCAAGGCGTTGAGACCCAGCACCAGACCAAGATTCCGTCGGCTACGCGCGCCATGGAAGCATGGGGAACCCTCCGCGATTTCTACAATCGCTCGACTCCCCACAACCGTGTGGTGATGACTCGTCGACAGCACGAGTTCAAGACGGAAAGTGGGACAAGCATAACAGAGCATATGGACTCTTTTAATGAGCTGGTAGTGGGACTCCAGACTACGGGAGAGCCAGTTGATGATTCACGTCAACTGGTGTTCCTTTTCAGCAGTCTGCCGTCAGGGTATGACTTAATTTTGGCGATTGTGGAGAATGCGAAGGATATCACGTTGATTAAAGTCAAGGAGAAGCTGCTTAAGGAATCGGGGAAACTTCAAAAGAAAGAAGCTACGGAGAAAGCGTTTCGCGTTAATGGAAACGCTAGAAGATTCAAAGGTGGACGTGACAATGGACTGATGGGTAGTCCTTTACGCAATCGGGGGATTAAAGGGCAAGTGTTTTAACTGTGACCAGTTTGGGCACAGGAAGCGGAACTGCCTGGCCAGTAAGAGGTCCGACAGCGACGACACGGTGTTTGCTGTTGGTGAAGGAAAGTCATCAGGA